TGCATCTTCCGTCTAGACTATAGCACCAGCGTAAAACTGTTGGAGAACGCCTAGGCCTAGATCTACGTTGTCCAACTCCGAATTTGGAAGTTAATAACGCTATCGAGGTCTGTGTTGATAACTTGCAGGTAAACTAGATCTAGACCTAATCTTGCAATATTTTTATGGAGAATTTCACGTACCCTTATGGTGTTCTTGCTGTCAGCAGAATTAATCAAGTCTTGCAATTGATCATCATCAAGAAGTTGAAATCTACTATTACTAGGTCGAGCGTACTCGCACTAGTTGAAATCTAGGAATAGTTTATTCATCCATTTTTGCCTTTTTTGGAAACTATAAGTAGAATCTAGGCCGGATTTAGTAGTACGATCGACATCGTCGGTCGTATTATTAAAAAATCTAAAACATTAAGCGACCAATTCGCATACACACAATGTATGGTATCCGCGCTCGCTCAAACCAGATTTTAACACGTGAACCCATGGGTATTTCAGCAAGATTTGACTATTTCTCCGGTAACTAGAATTTTGCAGGGATTTTACTGATTTACTCTAGAACTATTACATGGATTTGGCATTTTTCGTTTATTTACGGGATTGGCTAAAATCACGACTGCAATTTCGACCAATCAGATGGCTGGATTTGTTAGGTGAGATATATAACTCTATATAGTATATGTCACGGTCCACGCACTTACTACAATGCACAGGAGTGCACTGCAAAAACAAGGGTGTTAAATTCAACACCATGGGTGTTAATTTTACCACTTTTCCAGTATCTATATCGGAAAACACCAGCTGGTGTTATATATAACACCAGGGTTTGAAATTAAACAATTCAATTCCACTCTTGGTGTTGAAGTAATTCCGACTTTGGTGTTAAAATCTAACACCATTATTTCAACTTGGTGTTAAAGTTCAATTCTAGTTTTGGTGTTAACAAATCCAACACCATTTCTTTCAACACCAGTGGTGTTTAGAATTTAATCCTGATTTTGTTTTGTTAAAATCAATACCAAAGATTTAACACTCAATTCAAAGAATCCTGCAATGTCTGTTGGATTTAGTGGTAACAATTGTCTTACTGTTCTGTCTGCAGAACAAATTTCACTTAACGGCATGATTGCGCTGTTGAAATAGGATATTCAGACCTTGACTAAAAATTCCAGAGGTTCTTGATAGCTAGCTCGCGCATGCGCATGCACGATACGACGTCATATCATATGACAACTGTCGTCCAATGATTTTGCTCGAATCCACTAACTTATTCGCATGAGCAAGTTCAACACCATAACACCAAGACTCGGAACATCAACCTGTAATTAATTATTTCGACACTCTGTTGGTGTTAAACGGACGTGAGCGGACGTGAAATTAACACCAAGGGTGTTGGTTTCTCTATTCCGTACTGGTGTTAGACATTTAACACCCTGGGTTTTGCTGTGTGGAACGATATGTTATCTCTTTTGTGTACAGAGCATGACGGATGCATTTTCTTCAATTCCAATAGGGTCCATACGGCTCCAAACGTTTTGATATGCATTGTGGGAAATGTAGTTCAACGGTCTAATGCCACAGGGGTCAATTTCTGAAACTACAGGCATTAGCCTCGTTGTCGCGATATCTGAAGAACTACTTGAGATATGGACCTCAAACTTAGTGATATATATCATCACCATGGGAAGACGATCTGATTATATCTTTTAGTAAGCAGGTCAACGGTCAAAGATCATAGTCGTCACAGTTTACATGTAACTAAAGACTTTTTATTTTCATCGTGATATTTCCAGATTAATTCCATCATTTTCCTAAACCATGCATGTGAACATAACATCTGGGTGTATCTCTATTTTTGTAAACTAACATACATTCTGTCTTCTTCTGGTCGAGGGACAGGCCCAATTCTTCACTTTAGATGACTACATTATTTAGTAGAAACTCTTCCCTGCTATTGCAACTACGACAGTATCATCGGCATATCTTACGTTGTTAACGTTGTGGCCGCGAACTGTAATACCATTCAAGTCAGATATTTCACGCACTGTTAGCACTATTACCAAAATTAAACTTGCAGAGAGAGACAAAAGACAGAAACAGAAACACACGCACACCCTCACATACCAAAACGTTGAAACACTCATTAGAATATTTTGGTGATGTCATAGAATATTTTAAGCTCCGAAGAGGGGTTAATTCCGAAGAAGTCCCCCACCCCCCCCCCCCTAACAAGTACATTTTAGTTTTGTGACTTGAATTTTTTGTTGTTGATACAGATCGAGAAATTTCTGACCAGACACTGGTTGCGTTGGGCCGTCAGATCGCACCAGAGAAGTTCTATGAGATTGGCGAAAAGCTGGGATTTAATAAGTCAGAGTTACTAAACATCGAACATCGGACATTAAACAATAGGAAAGACGCTAACATCCAAATGCTTTCAAAGTGGAAGGCATCACAGTCTTCTGGGCCTAAAGCAAAGCAGACATTGCAGCTGGTTTTGAAATCTCTGGAGGACGCATCGAAAGCAGAGAAAACTAAGGGTATCATACATTATGCAATACATTCTTCTTCTGTTCTAAAGTGCAACATAAGAAAGACTCATTCAAGTGCATCATTATCTATTGGAAAAGATATAACTTGATCTAATTTGATTGCCTTATGAATATACCTGACGATGTTTAGTCTATTTTGTTTCTTGTATTACACGGTTATACATTAATTGTACTCATTTTATTTTTGAAATAACTTTCTCTGCAACATAAAATATAGAAAATGTTACACTATTCTCTTGATCTCTTTGAACATTAAGTATATAAAGCGCAGCAGCCAGGCCCTGCAGTAACCATTGGATAGGTCCTTTGCGTGACTAAAATGAAACACCATTCTATGTACCATATTATTAAATTAAACCGTCGTAATGGCTTAATACTCTATATCTTGTAGACGAAGAAGAAGAAGAAGAGGATTCTCAAGAACTGGAAGGGAATTCGACTTCTCTGCATGAACATAGAACAGAGCAGAGGGAGTCTGTAGAGCCTGACGATATGGAGATCATCAGAAATTCGGATTCAGGTACATGTATGTTATATTACTTCTAATGATGGCCTTTCATAGAACAATGGCTGTCATTATGTTGTTCCAAAATGTTAGTGTCTAGGATAACTTAATTTTATCATTATCTGTATATACAGCCAAGCTTGTCAGTGGAAGCTACCCAAGGGACACAGACAAATAAATTTACTGTAGATAGGTGGCATTTCAAGACAGGTTCTACAACACGTTTCTCTCTCGAGAGAGACAGGGGGATACAATACGCATAGCTACTATTAATTGGTGGCCTTTATAGAGAGGTGACCATTAAGACATGTTTGACTTTAGATTATATATTCTATTTCATAAATTATAGATGGAGACGGAGATAAAACTGGTGAAGTCATCGACCTATGTGGAGGTTCACCGAGTACGCATGAGCAGTGTATCATTGCTCTTTCGGTGAACTGTTTGTCTTTGGCATGGGAACTGGGGAAAGCCCTTCGTCTGGATGATGACGTCATTGTTGGATACGTTGCACCTTCCAATCCTGCCGCAATAAACAGACTAGCATGGCAACTCCTCAACAAGCAGTGCAGACGTGTAGGAAGCCAAGAGAAGACAGAACTGATGACAAAGCTTTTTCAAGATTACAACATTCAGAATTGCAATGCAGGTTTGATACAATTATGGAAAATGTTTAACCCTACTTTGGTAATGTCTTTTCCCAATCACGATAAGTTGTGCTAGAAATCAAGTGGGATGGTATTTTCGACAGTGCGTAAGTTATGAGACGAACATGATGAATTTATGTTAGAATTGTAAGGATTTTGAGTCCAGCTTAATAAAAAGGAGAATAACAAGATTAGCATTGACTATCAAAGTTTTAAAGTTAGCTTTTTATATTTGTTTCAAGGTCATGATGAAATCTCCCGAAAGATTTGCACAACTCCAGATCTACTAGACTTCTCCCAACGCCTTGATCTTGCAGCTTCGGAAGTCGTGCAGGTCATGTCCACCTGTGTTTCCTTTCCACCAACCTCAATACGACACATTGTTCTACAAATGCTTCAAGAATGGGTACGACGTGGAGGAACAAGACAGAGGCTTCTCGAAATTTCTCAAGCTTTTCATTTCAATGATGCAGCAGACAAAATAGCAACAGGTAATTGTAGTTAACATTTTTGTTGAAGGTCTTATTTATTTTTTGAATAAAATATCTGGAATATCATGTCACACTTCGACCTTCTTGTTATCAAGGAGGGTTGTAATCATACTGCAAGTGCTTTTTATCATTTTTTTTAAATTGAAAAACTGTATTTAATTCTGATAAGGATAACCTGTGGAGAAACCTAACATATCTCATGTGTCAACTGCGTCTTTCTTTGTATCATCCATCGGTAGAAATTGAACGCCACCCAGGTTTCTTGGACCCCTTCTCTCATGGCATCATTGATCACGACGGTGGGGAGCTGAAGCTAGATGAACTGGACATGAGAGTATCTATCCCTGCAGGAGCAATCCCTAAAGAGACGAGATCTATGGTCACTCTTCGTGTACCTAGCTGTTGCTTATCTAAGATTCCCCTTAAGGACGGAGAGGTTCTCATTACTCCAGTCATTGAATGTTCTTTCACTCAAGAACTTCTAAAACCTGCGACTGTAGCTCTTCCACAATTTATCCATCCAGAACAACATCAAGATGACTTACGCGTTAGCCTTTACACCAAGTTAGGACCGGGTAGGCCGATAATTATTACGTTCAACTTTGTAGAAGGTCTTTTTTGTTTTCTAAATTAACAAAAGAAAGGCTGTCATTTTTAACATTTCAGCCCTTCCAAAATGTTCACCCTCACTTAAATCATAATACGATATATAAATTATCTTGAAATTATGTGAATAGTTTTAGTAAAGTAAATCCTAACACGTTTCTAAAATAATGGTGCAAATTCACATAAACTTGTCTTAAAGGGCCGGCATTTCTTTTACTTGGATATTTAAAGCTTAATTTGTGTAAAATTCATATGGTATTATTTTTTTCTTCATTTTCACTCTTCTTGTACTTTCCAAGGTACATTTGGTCACAGGAGCGTTCTTCCAAATACACCAAGAGGTTTCCACATCTCAGAGGACGTGGTTGATTTCCCTACGCATCACCTTCAACAATGTGCGTTATCATCAAGCAACTTTCGTGGAGTCCAGTACACCTGTGAAGTACATCTCCCTCTCTTCATGACTCCCTCACAGAAATCTACACTGCGTATTTGCATAGCTCATCCCTGCAACAGATATCCCGCGGTATGTATAATAGTAATGGCTTTTAATATAGCCCTCATATCTGTCACTCTGTACCTCGCGATCCAAAAATATGTTATCTTATCCGCTACGCCACAACACATATACGTAAATTATGACATCGGAAAGGTCTTTCTAGTTCCATGTCCCATTTGTCTTTAATACGAATCTTTAAACCAACATCTTTATGAAAACTAGGTCATTTGGTTTACATGGTCATTGAGCACCGAGTTGTCATACTGTAAAAAGTTATTCGTTTTGTCACAGGATAATACCAATATATGTAGGTGAAGTGGAGGAAAGAAGTCACATTTACCTAAAGATGTGCACCTGATAAACTAAAATTCCGACATCTGTTTTATATTTTATTTTGTTCTTGTACTTGCAACTCATTATTTTATGTATCTTGATAGTGTGTGCTTTTCAACACGTGTAAGTCACATAGAAAAGAAGACCTTCAGGTTATGCAATATTTAGTTAAACTATGGTCACATCACCTAAAAGTAGCATGCTCGGCGGCTGGGCGGCGAGTTTTGAGCCAATTTCGTCCGGGCACCGAGCGGCGGCCGCCCGGGCACCGCTTGTATTTAGGGCATCGCTCGGTCGCTGCTGAAATTTTAGCGCGGAGTTAAAATTCGGGCGGCGCCTGTTCACTTTCACTCGCCACCCAAAGTATGCTCGCTGTCTGGGCGGTCGCCGTCCGGGCACCGACCTAATCAAACGTTCGCCGTCGAGCGATTTAGGTAAAAAATCAAAGCCGCTAGGTCAAAGGCTGCTGAGCATTCGCCGCCCGGTAGCCGCTGGGAGATCGGTCGGTCACTGGGCGGCAAGTTCAAAATCGGTCAGCAACCTTTGACCTAGCGGCTTTGATTTTTGACCTAAATCGCTCGACGGCGAACGCTCGATTAGGTCGGTTTCCGGGCTGCGAACGCCCGGGCACCAATACAGTTTTGTAATCCTAATGGAGCTCTCGCACTCTGCAGTGTAGGCCTACCGTCCACCTGCCGGGCTATTAAAAAACAACAGAGTCCAGAACGTTGGGTTTTGAGCGAACTTGTCCCCGGCCGCAAAAAAAAAATTAATAAAATTAATCTTTTCACCGTTTCGTTACCATCTTCTGGCCGTTTCCATACCGGGCCCATACCGGGTCTCGAACGTGTGCACCGGGTTTGTAGCAGCCACCTTCCAGTCACTTAGCGTCCCCTCACCGCTCGGAGCGTCCTGTGAGCGAGTCCCCGGACTGCTGACGTCATGACAAGAAAAAGTAAAGCTCATCTGACGAAACCCCTCTATTTATACCCAATAATTAGTGACAAACGGTGGCACACGGTGACAAAAGTAAATTTGTTGGTAATGGCACGTTCATATGACGCTACTGTGAAGGTAAGGACACGTTATGGACCCGTTATAGGACGTTATGGGAACGTCAAGGCGTTAACAGGATGTTACCCATGCGTTAGGGAGGCGGCGCCGTCAGAATCAGGCGGTACCGCTTTGGAAACACCCGTTGGCAGTCCGGTATGAACACTGTAATGAGGACGTTATGAATACGTTATGAAGACGGTGGCACGGTATCAACACGTTCATGACACGTTCACAACTCGCTAACAACCCGTTACAGACGGTGGATTTTTTTTTTGCCCGTTCATCACCGTTCTGTAACGGGTTATTAGCGTGTTGTGAACGTGTTCATACAGTGTGACCGTTTTCATAACGTATTCATACCGTCCTCATACCGTTCAACACCGTCCTCTTGCCGCTTACTTGCGGCCGGTGCCAGCCGGCCAAAGTTTTGAACATGCCCAAAACTTTCGCCGGGTCCCACCGGGTGTAAATAAGCGCCAACGCCCTATTAACGTGTTGCCCGCTTTGATAACGAACCACCGTGTGCCCTCGCCGTTCTCCACCGTCCGCAGACATTTTCGCGCACGGTGGCACACGGTAGGCCTACACGGCAGAGTGTGAGAGTCACTTAAGGATGCATAATAAAATGCTAATCTAATTCCAAATGAAATTCATTTGTAAGCATACTTATCTGTGCATAGAATAGTTTATTGCCATCTGTCTTCAAATCACATTTCATGTATAGCTGTTTTGATGAGATTTTATTAAAGGGTTTTTGTTTTAAAATATCCACCAGAAACCTGATCTTTATAGGGATATCTCTGCAAATAGTACTTTACTATACAATATATCAGCAATCATCTCCAATTCCGAAAGATTATTAAAAATTAAATTTAAAAAGAAGTTGGCCTAAAGTCGTGTGAAGAAAAGAATTTGAAATAAAGCAACTTCTATGACTTTGCCAAACGTTTGTTAAATTGCTCAGATTTATAATCCAGGTATACAATTCAGTCAAAATCAATCACATTTTGTTGTTAGGAGATGCGCAGAAGACAGGAAAGCTTGTCGGAACCATTCTACCAGCTTGCGACCGTGATCAAGTTTTCTCTTGAATCAAAGGAAGATGATCTCAAGCTTTTGTGTCTTTCTGATTCAGAAAAGGTCCAGGAAACTGTAAGTACCGCACCAGAACTAATGTAAATAGTTGTCCGGGGGGTAGGTGTCCTAGAGCATGGTTGTCGTAGGGGGTTGTTGACTGGGGGTAATTGTCAGGGGATAGTTTTCCGGGGGAATTTTTCCTAAGGGGAAGTTGTCCTAGGGGGTAGTTGTCCGGGGGGGGGGGTAGTTATTCCGGGTGTAGTCGTCCTAGATGGTAGTTTTCCCAGGGGAATAGTTATCCTGGGGGTAGTTGCTGGGGGTTGTTATCTGGGGGTGGATGTCCAGGGAGTAGGTGTCCCACAACCAATGTAAATATGTACAGTCACTGTCCGCGAGGTTTCCTCACACAAATGATATTGTTATCAACCTCTCCAACTACACGATTTAGATTAATCATTGAATTACCACCGATATAGATTTCTTCACAAAACTGATAATTAAAACCAAATGTTATGGACATCAACTAATTGACAATCTCCGACTCTGACATTCCATTATCCATACTTTTGTTTGAAAATGTTTTACCAGGTCCCTGTTCGTGGTCTACTGAAGGGAGAATGCAACACTCTTGACTTCGAGCTGATGTCCTCACCTGATGAGGGAGGGGCGAAGAGTATCTGTCTACGTATTGAGCAGGGCACATCAACACTCGCAGAGCAACACATGCCCACCTCTATAGAAGGTGTGTCAATTGTGGCTTATACAAAATTCAGAGAACTTTATTTCGCCATTACGGTTGAAGGAAGTTCACGCTATATAAACCTTCTTACCTTGTATATTCTTCTGGTTTTTAATGTGGAAAATAAATGAAATTAAAAAAATAATGAAATAATATCTAGACAAGGGGACAATAAATGAAACGAATATAATGTATATTAGACGTAGTACATTAATTCCATTTACAGTCACTTGTGTTGGAAAATTAAGGAAAAAATATACTTTTTTTAATGTTAAGCACAATATTTAGCCAATCATGGAAGTAAATTGTAGGCCCACATAGATTAATGTAGCTGGCAACTAGGTAAACACTTTTTTATACAAAATCTATTTCAACCACAGGCGCAAGCTTTGAAGTGCGGTGTAGACACATACCTCTTTATTGTGATACCCTGTTGTAAAGTTATTATCGCATTGTTTACACGCAATTCGTTGATTATATTTAAACGTGGAGAACGAAATATACTCCGGCTTCATTCATTCGTAAATTAGACAAGCTGGACGCCCACGAAATCGACATTCGATTCCTTGTTATATCGTTTCTCTGTCCCTAAACTTAAATCTAACCTTTAGAATCCCAAATCTCAAACAAATAAATTGTGCAAGAAACCATATCAAGCATAAACAAAGAAAAATGGCATATTTCATACTCTATGGATATCTAATTTGTATGTTAAAGAAATGTTCATGGTAATAAGTGAAGAGCGTGATACTTCACGTATAACAATTTAAGAAATGAACAGTTGAAGTTTAAAACTCACACTTATCTTATTTAATCCAAACAGTTGAGCCAGATTATGGAGCATCCCAAACGTAAGTAAAGCAATTGTTGGTCAAAATGCATAACATAGTAATTAGATCAAGTAATAGCTCGAAAATATTCAAAATTATACATAATTATAATTCATCAAAGAGTTGCAAACGTATATATATAAATATATGCCTATCGTTGAGTTCAAGAATCGGCACATACCCCCTAAAAACGTTATTATTTTTTGCCCGAAGTAGTTTTAAAAAATGGCTATTATATTGTACTCGTGAGAAAGTGTCCATAGGCGGTGAATAAGAGTTGGGTGTACATTGGGATAATATTAATGAAAGTAGAAAAAATATACCAATATCATCTTCTCCAATGTATTATATTGTTCCTGCCATCCCAGCTTACTTTGCTTCTCATATTATTCTCACTCCTTCAGATTTGGACAGATAAAGTTTGCATCTGACAACATGCTAAAGGTCTTGTCTGGTGTAGTCTGTGCAATAAAGGATGCACGTGACCTCGGCTATCAGCTTGGCTTCTCCCATTCAACGGTAGAGAAATACCTTGACAGAGCAGACTCCTCTGGCAGCAGCGTCTCAAGTTCAGGATTCAGGGAGATGCTTTGTGACTGGAGACGGTGTGTCCGACCGAATGAGCAGGTCAGTAAACTTCGTCTAGCTTTGGAGAAAGCTGGGTTAAGTTATGCAGCCGAGGTGCTCTTGCCCGAAATTTAGTTTGTATTTATGAACGCCCTGTCCAAGATCAGATGTAAACTAAAGACTAAATAGATTGAGTCACAACTAACATTTTGCATTTCAAGTATGTGTGATGTCGCCGATACCATGAATACGAATTTGACAAATATGTGCTATCCAAATATACATTATACAAGATTAGGAAGCAAACTATTTTGTATAAGTGGAATGAAGTATATTATCCTATTATTCTGTTATATTTCACCTTACTTGTAATTACATTACGATTGTCGTTATTATGTATGGTAATAATTTATTGTAATAATATTGTGCAAGCTGACAGGATAAAAGTACTGATTTAATCTGAGCATATAATACGAAAATGTCTTTATTGGTACGCAAGAGAAAAAAGGGGAAAATCATATAAATCCAGCGGACATTAATAGTCTAGCCAGTATTCATTGTATTATTTTACAAAAAACAATTATCTGCTCTATGCATCACTGAACTCATTTGAAAAAGAGACAACTTGATGCGACCACTTATTGGCGAAGTAATTCGAAAGAGATTTGATAAGTGGTAACAGTAATGAAAATAATACATCATGTATATTATATTTTTGGTTTTCTTTACTACATCGGATTTTAGTGGACCTTTTGAGATTTGTTAACAAATCAATTTTAGATGCCTTTTCTAAGGTGTCGTAAATGGTTATAAACTTGTATAAACTTTACACTGAAAGCCAACGTAAAGTAAATGTTTCTGAAGAGAAATGCATGTGCCATTTTAAACCTATCATAGATTTTCTCCACTTGTTTCAAAGTGAAGAAAGTCAACAACAAAATAATTTGCATTTCATTGATTTTTAGCAAATTGCAAATGAGAAAACAAATCCCACTCTTCAGTAAATTAGCATTCTATATCGAACAGAATGTTAAATAGATTAACTATGTATATGAAATAGAATGTAAAAAAGTCAGCTTTATGTATGTTGAACTTAATGTAAAAAGGTCAACTATAAGGAAAAAAAAGTCAACTATATGTCCACATGTATTTGGAACAACATGTTAACAAGTCAACTACATGGAACATAATGTCAAAAGTCAAATATATATATGTGGAAAAGAATGTAAAAAAGTCAACTATATGTATGTTGATCTGAACGTAAAAGAATCAGCTATATGTATGTGGAAGAGAAAGGAATAAAGTCAACAATATGTCCACATGTATTTGGAACAAAGTGTAAAAAAGTCAACTACATATTATGGAACAGGAATTAAAAGTCAACTTTATGTATGTGGAACAGAATGTAAACAAGTCTACTACATGGAACGGAATGAAAAAAGTCAACTACATAAAAACATAATGTAAAAAGTCAATTATTTGTATGTTGAACTGAATGTAAAAAATCAACTACATTTATATGGAACAGAATGTAAAAAGGCAACTATATGTTTGTAAAACAGAATGTAAAAAGGTCAATTTCATGTCCACTTGTATTTGGAACAAAATGTAAAAAGGTCGATTTCATGTCCACTTGTGTATGGAACAAAATGTAAAAATTCAACTACATGTATGTGGAACAGAAAGGTCAACTATATGTGTAACAGAATGTAAAAAAGTTAACTACAAATATATGGAACAGGATGTAAAAGTCAACTGTATGTATGTGGAACAGAATGTAACCAATTTAACTACATGGAACGGAATGAAAAAAGTCAACTAGATGTTTATAAAACATAATGTAAATAGTCAACTATTTGTATGTTGAACTGAATGTAAAAAGTCAACTATAAATACATGTATGTTAAACTGAATGTAAAAAGTCAACTATATGTATGTAAAACAGAATGTAAAAAATTCAACTATATGTATGTGGAACAGAATGTAAAAAGTCAACTACATGTATGTGGAACAAAAACAAATCAAATACATGTATATGGAACAGAATGTAAAAAGTCAACTACACAGAATGTAAAAAGGCAACTACATGTATGTGGAACGGATTGTAAATAAGTCACCTATATGGAACGAATTGTAAAACAGGCAACTATATTGAACAGAATGTAGAAAGGTCAACTATATGGAACAGAATATAAACAAGTCAATTATATGTATATGGAACAGAATTTTGAAACAAGTCAACTACATGTATAATATGTAGCAGAATGTAAAAATAAAGTCAACTCTATGTTTTTATATATTAAAGGATGTAACCTATATGATACAGTATGTAAACATGTCAACTACATGTACATGGAACAGAATGTTCAAAAATCACGAAAACGTTTGAATTGTATTACAATTATATTTCATGAATTACTTATCTTATGCCCCACAGTTATGTTCATGAAGTTGTTCATGAAGTCCTTCTACATTCTTTCATGTATGTCCATATAGTAAAGACATAAAAATTGCTTTAAAGCACTATCTCAATGAGGGATATTGTCATGAAATGAAGTAGTAATTATTGTATAAATAATGACGAAAGGTAACGCTGAAACGTAACATAAAGCAACGTTTCACTTGATGAAACGTTGACGTTTTACTCGATGTTGTTCCAATTAAAAACATTCGGATATTAGTATGAATGTATCTTTTAATATTCAGACATGTATATAGTTTTACTCTACTATCTATATTTCCCACTATCACTCTTTATCATTTATATCATATACATCATGCAGTGTAAAGTTCTATTTTTATGGTACATGATGTCGCTGTCGTGTTCTCTTTAAAATGTGTTAATCCGCCTTTGAGCACGTAATTGTGATTATGAAGATATATGCTGGTAAAATATATTGCAAGGAAATATATAATGTACGTCGCCTTGGCGTGGAAGAAGACGTGCCGTATCCCTAGAAGTTTGCTACAATCCAATCACCTCAAGATACAGTACATATGTATAATCATAATTATGAAACAATGTGTCCAGACTTAGTATATAATAAGTTCAGCTTACTCCGTATTTACATGTACATGTACATAGGAAATGCTATTTGTTTATTGCTCAAGGTATTTTGTTATGATATTCATATCATAGAAAGTATATATTAAAAACAGAAATGGTTTTCATTAATGTAATAGTTAGTGATTCTCTCTCTTTCCCAATTTAAATATCATTTTCTCTTTAGTATCCTCTCCAATTTTGTTTTCTCCCTATGTACTCTCTTTCTAACAATATTCTTATTTGGACCCCCCCCCCCCCCTTTGTTCTAATTCCTCATCATCCTTATCTTCCTCCCTTCCTCGTTCTTTCCATTTTTCTCTTTCTTTCGACACACATTCTTGCATTAAAATTAGTTATTTATTAGGGGAATTATAGTATTACAAGCTTCGCTTTTCTCATGGGTCCCCACACACTCTCTCCTCAGCTTGGAACAAACAAGAATACTTTCGTTCCTCTTTCATCATTTGATGATACAGGCTATATTGTGTAAGAGTCATTAAGATGTTATAATCTGTAACCGTTATACTTGTGTTTTCAAGTGTATTATGTTTTGCACTTTTTGTGTTAAAGTTGTTTGAGAAATAAATGTGGAGATAAAATATATAAACTTGAAAAAGAAAATTGTGCAAGGGCTTATTTAGTACGTATTGGAATACTTACATTATACCTGATGACAAGGAAATAACCGGGGAATGGCATGCGAGATATTACCTTGTCCTTATACTTTGTTAAGTTTAGA